GCATTTTATAGCGGGAAAACTACAAGTCTTAGCGCAAATCTAATTACTGTGTTAGATAGAGCTCAAGATATGGGTTTGACTAACATTTTAAATTTTTCAATTATCACTACAAATAAATGTGCTGGAGCTGTTCAAATATCGCATTTTTCCATTGATAGATGCCATTGAAAACAGTTATGTATTGTATGATTATTTGCAATGTTTTCAATGGCATCTATCAATGGAAAAATGCGATATTTGAACAGCTCTAGCACATTTATTTGTAGTGATAATTGAAATTTTTAAAATGTTAGTCAAATCCATATCTTGAGCTCTGTCTAACACTGTAATTAGATTTGCTCTAAGACTTGTAGTTTTCCCGCTATAAAATGCATCCCTTTCCTCCCGGTGCTACAAATTAACAAAATATTTTTAATTTTTGTATGATTGAGAATTATATTCTCTACATTTTCCATGTCATAACTTTGCAATATGTTGCTTTACAAATTTATAAGCAAATTATTTTACAAATTTATAATTTGCTTTACAAATTGCAATACAAACTTCTATTAATTCTCAATAGAAATGAAAAGTTAAATAAAATATTAGTCTTTATTCATCCGATAGCCTCTATAATACTGAATATCTTGTGTCCCCCTATTGTCTATCCCACAGCCCTGGCGCTAACCAATGGCCAGTCGTACAGTCAATACAACTGCGACCAAAATCGTCTTCAGCGCTGCCAACAGGACATCACCACAAACATCCAGGACATCAGTAACTCGTCGTCGGGCTCTGGATATAGTGGTATCTCCAGCGGCTACCAGAGCTCCAGTAGTGACACACACGCGAGATGCAGGTGATTATGACATATTATGCACCAATAATACCATTCATTGACATTACATTTCAAATGGTATGGTCTTGGGACATTTGACCTACAAGTTCTAGCATACAAAATATTGATATTGTAATAACTTTTGAAACATAATAAACAGAGTGGTGTTGTAATGAAATGATTTGATCGATTGAAAGTAAATTTGAATTTTTTGCTATTTAAACACATCTTATATATTCTTCACATGAAAGACATGTAAATTATTCTTGAAATACAGAATAAATCGTTCAGAGATTACTAATAATTTATATAAAAAGTTTTAATTTGCATAAAATGTCTGTTGAATACCAGTGCCATTCGCCAGAATCTGGACTGTCTGATAATGTATACGCCCGCCTGTATGAACAACACGAGGACCTCCTATTCGGGTACATCGAATAGCTATGGG